GCTTCCGCGAAGAAAAGTTCGCAGCAAGTGGCTTTGAGCCAAGACCTTTTAAAAGCGGCACAAGGAATATTTATTGCTTCCATTGTCAAACTTTACCTATAATGAGCCACGTGCGACATTTTAAATCTGTTAATATAGATAAATATGAGTAAAGTATTTAGCAGTTTCTGTTCCAGTATATTTTAACAATGTAAAGAAACAAATTAGTCAGAAGAGTAAAAATAAAATCACAGCAGATACACTTGAGATCGACTCTTCACTGAAGCTCCTCCCACAAGAATCACATCATCAGTGAAGCTCCGCCCACAAGAATCGCATTCTTTCTTTATTAATAGTGCTGATGGTTATAAAGCTTCAAGCAGATTTAGATTTGCTGTAATAGGAAACAATCTTTAGAGCTCTGCAATATAATTCATAAATCCCCCCAAAACTGCACTTTTTTTTTTTTTTAAGATGGACCGAAAAATTATTTTGTTTCCTTTTGTTACGTGTTTCTTCTGAGCAGATACTGGTTGCAGGGGCATGCACCGGCCCCCCTGAAATTTGGCTGGCCACCCCAGATGTCTTACGATAGGCTTGTTTTTAGTAAATTTCTAACTGCATCTGGCATCTGGCAGTGGCGGATCCTGGCATGTGTAGGCAGCTGCCTAGGGCCGCTTTCTTCTCTTCTTTATACTTAATTTTAGGCGGTTTCTATAATGTGATCTTAATGACAATGTCGAGAGCGCCTAATGTTATGCGATCCATGACGAATCTCTCCACTCCCAAGCGGATTTCCTTCACTCACACAAAACTGGACGTGTGCTTTTAAATATTGTTCTCCCGCATAAATATACTGACGTCATTCCTGAAACTTTGCAACGTGTGTGTGGCCGAAAAAACAAAGTTCTAGGCTACATTTTAAATGGATTATTGACTAGAAAGCTTGCAAAGAGTGCTCATAACCACTAAAAAGCTGTCACTCTTTGTTTAGTGAGTGTACATACATCGTTCCGCAAAACACATTAATGCAAATGTAATTGGTCACATTTACAAACTCAGGCGATTATGTTCGTCCATCTACACAAATGTCTCTTTATGTACAGAGACAAAAGAATGAGCGTAATCTCCATCAGTTTTAGTGATCGTGTAGATTTGCAAAGACACTGATGGAAGGTACACCACAAAACATCTTCAGCTTTTGCTTTTATTTCTAATCAAACACAAAACTTCTTTAAGCAAATGCGTTAAATCTTATCTAAATTAATTCTAATTTTAATTTGAATCTGCCTGTGCACCGGAGAAAAACACACAGCTTCCCTATTTTATTTATTTATTTAGATCTCGTCATAAGTTCGTGATCTAGACATAACAAAACAACTGGAAACTTCAGAAAGTAAACAGAAAATAATGTCACATGTCCTATAGGTCTTTCGTGCTGTTCTGATGAGTTAAAAACGCCTATCCCGATGTGAAAACGCCCAGTAACTGAGAAACAAATCCTCTTTTTGTTCTGCGTCCGGAAGATGAAAACACTTCAGTTCATTCCAAGCAAGACAACAAGACGGTCCGAGTCCAGTGTTCGCGTCACTTCCTGCCTTCATCTGCTCGATGTTTTACAGTCTCGTGTCCTTCGCTGATCTCCCACAGTCCTCCTCGATTCCCTGAGAGCTGAGAAATAAAAGCGGACGCCAGTGTGTGTGTGTAAAAGTAGCTTTCTGATCAGCTTTGATGTAGAGGCTCATTTCTCGGGAGAAGTTAGTATTATATTAGTACTGAAGTGTTCGCTGATCAGCAGAGCTCTGTTGCTGGAGATCATTAAATCGTTATTGTCTCAGGAGTCTGTCTGAAGTCACTTTCGGAGGAACCGTGAACAAACGCTGCTGTAAAGTCATATGATAAAGGAGCGAGTCATAAAGCTTTCGGACGCAGCTGCAGCGTCGAGTCTGAGGAGAGGTGAGCAATATTTCACACAGAAACACAAACATCAGACACATTCTCCAGGTTTGGAGTGATACTGTGGCTGCTACTGAATGTCTCGTGATCAGTGAGTGTAATGGACGCGAACGGAACCGATATAAAATTGGTTTGCATATTAGACAGACAGCGCATTATTGTAGCGCGAGAGCACATTAATATAACTACCCAGGATCAGCGCAGACCGAGTGTTGTAGGACATCTGTAAGAGGTATAGAGAGCAGACGGCTTCTGAATCGCTCTCTCGCTGTATTTTGATGTCGTACAGCGGTCAGTCTGTGCAGCGCTGCTTCAAGATGAACGAACGAACGAACACATCTAAAGCCCTATTCACACGGGATTAGTATTACCTGGTGACCTCCAGTCATTTGTATATATATATATATATATATACAGCTATATAAGATACCATTAAAATAGCACTTTTGTGCTTAGCTGAATCATGGTGATACTAAAAATAATTAAAAAAAAATTAAAAAGGACATTTTAAACTTTGTCAGGAAGATGATGTATGAGGATGCTGCCCTCCCCTACAGTAAGGAAAACAACAGAGTAAAAACCAAAGTGTTTACACGTCTGGTGTAGACAC